TAAAATCATAACAATACATAGGGGATGATGATAATTTTTCTTTTTTAAAAATTAATTTTGAAAGAGAGAAAGAGAGAGAGGGATATAGAAGGAGGGGGAGGGGGCGGGGGAGAGGGGGAGAGTGGGAAGGATATCTCTCATCTGCGCATTCATTTCCCAAATGCTACACTACAGCCTCAGCAGCTGGATGCCTGAACTCATTTTAGGGCTCCCACATGGCTGGCAGAGATTCAAGCACTTGAGCCATCACTTGCTGCCTCTGGGGTGTGCATTAGTTGGAAGCTGGATAAGGTGTGGAGCTGAGATTCAAATTCTTAGATACAGGATGCGAGCGACCCAAGTGGTACAGTAACTGCTGAACCAAACATTCAGCCCTACGTTTGTTTTCCAAGTAAATTTCTTTTCATACACCTTTTGTTCTGTAAAGAATATGTTGTTTTATATGTTCACTTTGAAGTGTGATATGGCTTTTAACAAGGCACATTCTCTCTCAATTTTGATAGCGATCCTTTCAAGGGCAATTTTAGATGTAGCCTTAGGCTAAAGACTTCAGGCTAAGTTTAGCAGCTAATAGAAATAATGCAGTAGAGAGACAGGTGCTGGAATTAAGTAAATTCAGGACATTTTGAACCATTCAAGCTCTTAGGAAAAGTATCATTTGTAAATTAGTAACCCATTTCAAAGCCAGGCACTGGTACAGCTATTCTTATCTTGAAGCACCGAAATAAATCCTACCTCACAAACAAGATTTTCACTCGAAACCAGCAGCCTGTTTTATTTTATTTTTAAGATATCATCCGGTTAATTTAAACTGAAAGAATAATTTTGGTATCATTTCTACCTTCATCTGTAAGACATCTTCATTACTGTGATCGTTCCACAAGCCTAATTAGTTTGTTTTTTTCTTTCATTTTCCCATTAGAAAATCTTTATAGGCTTCGTTATGGTTTTGGGCACTGGAAAAACCGTTGTGAATTAGACAAAGATCCTGGGTTCTTGAGGCTTGATTTTATGGGACAATAGAGAGAATAAAAAAAATACAATTTCATATGAAGATAAACACTCTTTAAAAAAAAAAAAAAACAACAGAGAGATTGGGGTTTAGCCGAGGGGTTAAGATGCCTGCATCCCACATTTCAGTACCTGGTTTCAATTCCCAGTCCAGCTCCTGATTCCAGCTCCCTGCCAGTGCAGAGGTCAAAGGCAGCAGTTGATGGATTAAAGAAGTAATTGGGTCCTTGCCACTTATGTGGGAGATCTGAATTGGGTTCCCTGCTCCTGGCTTTGGCCCAGTCTAGCCCACACAATTGTGGGTGTTTAGTAAGTGAAATATCAGAAGGCAGCTTTGTCTCTCAAATAAATAAATACCGTCCCTAAACAAACAACCCAGTGATCCATAAGGTGACTGATGGGTAGTGGGGGCACTCCTAGATGGGGTGTTCTGGAAGGCTCTCTAGGGTGTAGGATTTGTATAGAGAAATGAGCAAATAAGCCATGCTAATAGAGAGAGAACAGTAAAGTGAAAATGAAACATGTGATGAACAAACTTGGTAAGTTAAAATGAAATCATAATGACCAATGAGTCTGTGGCATAAAGAGAGGGAAATAGGAGGGAAGGAGGGAAAGAATGAGAGAGAGAGAGAAAAGAAGAGGAGGAAGAGGGAAAATGAGCAGTGAAATCATGTAGAGTATTGAAAATCAAACCACAAGTCTGGATTTATGCTAACTGTGATTACAAATATTTATGGTTTCAAGCAGGAAATAACATGACATTATTTATTCTCCTTTGTGAAGTTTTCCTACTTTCACAAATTCACAGTTTTCTTTAGAAGCCTACCTCAAAAGTCACACGGTACAGCTTTCTGTCTTGGGGTGGGGGGTGGTTCTGAGTGGTCCTAGTGCTTCTATAGCGTGACTTCTCCCTAAGACGCCAGACCTACCATGATGCTCAGTTTATACTGGCAGTGCTGATACAAGGGGGGGGGGGGGTGTGAGCAGGCTGCTGGCATGGGCCAGATTTAATGAGGGAGTCAGGGGACTGCCTTGAAATAGGAATATGGGGTGCCATATGATATCACCATGTGCTTATTAATAAATTCCCAATATTAATAAGCCTGTGTGGGTTCTTGCCTAATATTCAGGGAAGGATTCTGAATATTGGTATAAATGAACGAGGCAGCGTGATACATTTTAAGCTTTTATTCAGAGAGAGAGATACATAGGAGAGTGAGGGCCCTATCTAAAGGAGACCGGGAAATCTGGATTCATACTGAGTAGCAGGAGCCAGCCACGTGGAGGAGCATCTAGGCCAGGAAGCATGGGGCCGGTGGCCCAAAGGCCACGTGCTCTTGGGGGTGCAGGGCAGCATGGGCCTACACTGGCAAAAAGCCAGAAAGCCAAGAGAGCGAGCCCATCATGTCCCAGGCTTTTAATCCACTTCCAAAGGGGAGTGGTTAAATAGTCTGATTGGCCAGCGGGCACACAGGTGTGGCCAGGTAGGGGCATGGAGAAGGCGTGGACTTCCAGCTCACAAAGCTGATAAATGTTATACTGTATGCCTGCCTACAACAGCCTGATTGGGAGCGTCTCCAAGCAGAGACCATTACAGATTTTAGGAGTCTTTCCTGTTCCTTACAGCAGTATTCAGCCTGGATCAGTTACCAGTGCTTTTTCATAAAAGATGTTTAAGCTGTTTTTGTAAGGTGGATTTTGTTTTAAGGTTCATGGGAGAGTTATATCTGTGCTGCTGTGGCCTTGTGTTCTGGTAACATCTGGGCCAGGGGTGGAACTCTCCAGAAAGTTTGCATCATATGCCAAGCGTCATATAGTAAAATGCTTGAGTGGGCCTTCGGCCTAGAATTAATCTTACATTCACTGGCTCATTCCCCAAATAGGGCCAACAGTCTAGGTGTTATTTTGTTTTTTAATAGTGGGTCTTATTGCAGGCCAAAGCTGCTGAACTTTGAACTAAACACCATGATGATTCCATAGCATAGGTTGGTAGCCAGAGAGTCCACCAACAGGGTGGGATGGCCAGAGGCGGCAGGAGTTGGGGAGAGGTGGAAGGAGTTCACACACAAACCCAAGAGCAGAGTTATGCAGGATACAGAGGCCCTTGGCTCCTACTAGCTCTGGCTGGTGTTGGAAAGGAAAGATGGCAGGGGGGCAGAATACCTCATTGTGTGTGGTTCTGTTAGGTAGGAAGTCAGATATGAGCTTATGTGTGTGTGACAAAGGCCTAAGGAGACATCTGTGTCCAGCATCTGCATCTCGGAATCATCCCGATAACCTTCCAGGGGCAGCCAGTATCTGCATCCTTCCCTGCCCCTTCTACCTGAACCTGCCAGGTGGGCGTCCCCACCCCTTCAGCCTGATAATCTTGCAGGTGCAGCCCAGTATCTGCATTTCAATATATCTGCATTTCAAATATCCTGCCCCTGATCCCAACCTTCCAGGGGGTCCTGCTCATCCTTCCTCTAGGGCAGCACCAGCCAGGCTTCCTCCTGTCTGATAGCTTCAGTGGTAAAACTCAGATAGGAATTTTTCGTATTTACATCCAAAAAGTCCTTTGTTCCAGGAGGAGCAGAGGTGGGGAGGCAAGACCCATCCCCTTAAAAAAACCCCCAGCCTCAACTGGACTGCGCGCTCAGCCCTCTGCCTCTATGCTAAGCTGCCTGCCTGGCCTGGCCAGGTGTACTCTTTCCATTCAACCTTGTAACCTCGCTTTCCCCCAGTCTGAGCTACTGGGCACTCTCTCTCAGGTTCTGTCTGGAGAGGTGCCCATCCATTCTTATGGATGTCCCTGCCCTAATAAACCTCGCTATTTGCTTTCCACTTGCAAGGTGTCCCGGGCATAACAAATCTTCCCAGGCAGACGAATCAATTAATTCACAAGCTTTTATTTGGATTCCGCTCCTGGGCGAGGTTCCCCGGTCCCAACAGAGCAACAGAGTGGGGCCAGGGAAGTCGCGCATCAGAGATTGAGAGAGCTCTTTTTATAGATACAGGACGTGGGGGTTAAAGGTTGAGGCAGATCTGATCCTCATTGGTTGACCTTTAGGCACCCGCGGGGACCCTGACAAGGACTTTTCTTCCCCGGAAGTGCGGGTAGGGACTCTCCATTCCCCGAGGTATAGGCCTTCCCTCCTTGCGGATCCCAAAGCTACCACCACTTACTCTGAGTCTCACGCCTGAATTCTTTCTTGCGCGAAGACAAGAACCCCAGCAGTTCACCGGTAACAGTTCTTCACCTCTGTCACCAGAGCCGGAGCCCCCTCTTGCAGGCAGAAGCAAAGCGCTCGCACCCTACTTGAAAGGAGCACACAGAACTTGACCTGCCCCATAGGATAAGTACAAGAAGCAAGCAGCAGCCGATGTGCTTCAATAGATAAGACAAATTACGCCACCCACGACTGTACCACCAATCAGCAAGGGACTGCACTCAATCGATAAGCCTACAATGAAGCAAATATAAACCACAGCAAATCGGCCTCATGGACTCTCCTGAGAGCAGCTGAGCCAAAGCTCTTGCCCAGACCCTCTGGGATGACCAGCAACACTCAGACCTTCCCGCAAGAGAGCCTCCCCGCCAGTCCAGTGCTCGATCAACACCCGAACTCCACTAGCCTTTCCAGACCTGCATTCTTCGGTTCAGAGGCACCACCCAAGCGGACACTATGCGAATCTGCCTTCTGTGACTGGGATAACGTGATGTGAGGAGCACTGGAGGTCGGTTGGGAACCTTGGGTGGTCGGTTACCCAGTGTGTTGCATGAATTAAGAACCTGGGATTCTCCACTGCATAATACAATCCTTATTGGAACTAATACTGCCTCAGTGCCATTACTACACTCGTGACACCTCTGGACTGCGCTTACAGCCCCCACAACGCGGCAGAGCAGGGCTGAGGTGGCTGAAGCCCTGGGGCAGGGAGCTGTTCTAAATGAGAACAAAGGGAATTAACAGAGAAAGCCACTCCAGTGCTGACTCTTGTTCACTCACCAAGTGGCCAGGGCCGGTCCAAGCTGGGAGCCTGGGTCTCTCACCTGAGTGGCAGGGACCCAAGCCTTTGGGCCATCATCTGCTGTCTTCCGAGGTGCATTAGCAGGGAGCTGGATGAGACGCGGGGCAGTCAGGCCTTGAACCTGCGCTCATATGGGAGGCAGGTGTCCATGCGGCTCCTTAAGCTGATGTACCACAACTTGGGTCTCTAATCTTATTTTTACTGATTTTCATGTATTTGGAAGGCAGGGGGCCTGAGAGACTAGCTTCCAATCGTTAGTTCACTCCTCAAATGTCGGCAACAGCTGGGAGCCACGAACTCTGTCCAGGTCTCCAATATGGGTGGCAGGAACCCAAGTCCTAGGACTCTCACCCTGTCCCTCCTAGGTGCAGTAGCAGGAAGCTGGATAGTAAGCGCAGTAGCCTGAACCTGAAACAGGCACTGTGAGATGGACTGCGGGTCCACCCCTCATCATCGTTCCCAGGAAACAATGTCAACTTCAGTATAGACATCGCCATAATATCGACTTTCCGCCAACTTCCGACCACCATGACTGCTGTCTTTATTTCGAGAGTGCTTTGGAGCACGAAACGCAGAATAGTGCTAGTCACCACTGGGTTTTTATTTTTGTGAACGTATTCATCAATGCTGGATCTAGCTTCACTTGAAAGAAGTTATCAAAGCATCTTGTCAAACTGGCTCAAGTCTGTGACGGAACCTAGCACCCCTTCCATGGCCACTGTTCGGTACGTGGCGCCTGGAGCACTGTTTCCGGCCCGACCCAGCAGTAAGAAACTCTGGCCTGGCGGCACCGCGGCGTCAGACGGGAAGGGACGGTCCAGCGAGAGCAGAGGCCCCGCCATGCCCGTTTTGCAAACACGCGGAGGCCCCGCCACGCCTCCGGCGAGCGCCGTCGCGCCGTCGCGCCTCTTGCGTCACACGCTCCCCCGGAAGTGCCGCCGCGAGCGCGGTGGGGGCGTGTCTCCGGGTTCCTTCGCGTCTCGTTCCCGGAGAAACGCGGGAAGTTGGCCCGCGCGCTCTTGCCCCGCGGCTGTGGTTGTGTCGTGTTGCGGGAGCGCTGCACCAGAACCTGAGGAAGACCCTGTCTCAGGCTCGGCGCCATGGAGGTGGTGGAGGCCGCCGCCGCTCAGCTGGAAACTCTGAAATTCAGCGGCCCGGGCCCTGGGGGTGGCGAAGGCCCGGCGCCGCACGCTGCGAGCTCAGCGCCGCAGACGCCGGTGCAGTCGGATGCGGGGTCCCTGGACACTGGGCAGACGGCGGAGGCGCCTCTGGTCGGGGAGCGGCCGCCGCAGCCTGCGCTGAGCGCCGTCGCGGGCGGGAGCCCCGAGCCGCCGCCGCCGCCGCCCTGCGGGGACCCGGGCGAGGAGGCGGAAGCGCAGCCCCCTAATTCTCTGGGCACCTCGGATTCGGATTCGGACTCGGACTCCGACAGGTCGGGTGCTGGCGGGCCCCGGAGGGGCGGGGAGGGGCCGGGGCCTAGCCGCCCCGAGGGTGCTCCGGCCCCAGCGAGGCGGGCGCAGGTGCTGCGGGCGCACCTGTCGGGTCGTGCCCTGCAGTCACGTGTGAGCCTGGGCTTGGGCCGTCAGTGCTCGCTTCTCTCCCGGGTTTGGTACCCCGAGAGGTACTGTGTGCAGAGTGCATTCCTTTTTAGTTAGACTAATAATACCCGGGGATATTGGATTATCCCGTCAAGTTCAGTTGGGAGATGTACCTTTGTGGTTATAGTTTGAGTTTCACCATAGGGCTGAGTTTGTTTGTTTTAAAGTCAAGTTTAGCGTATGATGATCTTGTTTGTTGAACTGGATAAATCGAGGTACAGGGTTTCCTTTGGACTGTTTGAAAGTTAGCTCTTTTGACAGTGACGTGAATAGAATCCGAGTATGTTCATGGAATTAGCCAAACCTTGCTTTTTGGTAGTAGTTAGTGCTCTAAAAGTCTCCCCACCCCGCCCCTGTCCCATCCTCTGTATGCAGCCTCTTTGCAGAGAGAGGCCATCCACGTGAGGAATGATGCTAAATCACACCGAACGTTGTCCCCGAGTATTTGCGTGTGTTAGGTAGGGTGCTGAGCAAGTAAGCAGGCAGGCACGCGGGAGGAGCAGTTTTCCGGGGAAGTCAGCAGCTGAAAGAGTGGAGGAGAAGGCATGAAAGAGACTGAGAGGAAGCAAGAAGCCAGCGAGCAGTGCTGTCGGACAGGCATCGGACTTCGCAGTGCATGCCGCCGAGAAGTGGTGGTGGACGACCTGGGACAAGTTTTCAAGCAGATATGGGATTATGGAATGCCCATAGGACAACTTAGCGGCTGGACGCCACGTTTGACAGATAACTGAAAAATTGCCAACCGACAGCTATCTGCCTTTATTAGCGAGCCAATGTTTTGACGCATTTGTCTTTGGTTTCCCGTTCTTCGTAGTTAGGAAAAAGTCCTCCGGGAGCTAGGGAAGGAGGTAAATTCTGCTTTTGGTGGGTAAGGAGGGCCTTGGAGGAGGTGGTACCTATCTGTGTTGAGCTTTTAAAGAGCCTGTACAGAAGGACTTTCCTGGGCTGAGGGCGTTTCAGGCGAGGAAATAGCATTGGTAATGATACTTGGTCATGAAAATAAAGGGGGATGTGAAAAGTTATATAGACTTGTATGCTAGATGTAGGCCCTGCGTGAGAGGTGATAGGAGGTGGGATTTTGAAAGTTACCAGGAACCTGTTTGCAAAAGGCTCTGAGGTGTCATGCTAAGGGATGTGACTTGTTTTGTACACATACACAATGCATTTACAGAAAAACTTCTTAAACTTTTCTGTATGTTTATTTTCTTAGTAAAAAGTATAAGGAGTAGTACAAACCAATGTAATTACACCTTGACTTAACAACTACTAACACTTTGAAACTATTTTCTTAATATATATATTTTTTTAACTACTTCATTTATTTGAAAGAGTTACAGAGAGAGGTAGAGCCAGAGAGAGAGGTCTTCCATTCTGCTGGTTGACTCCCCAAATGACCTCAATGGCCAGAGCTGAGCTGATCTGGAGCCAGGAGCCAGGAGCTTCTTCCGGGTCTCCCATGGAGGTGCAAGGGCCCAAGGACTTGGGCCATTTTCTATTCCTTTCTCAGGCCATAACAGAGCTGGATTGGAAGAGGAGCAGCTGGGACTCAAACTGGCACTCATATGGGATGCTGGCGCTGCAGGTTGGGGTTCTAACCAGCTGTACCACAGCGCTGACCTCTTAATATGTTATTGACCTGTTCTAAAGATGATTGTACACATTGTAACATTTTAATTCAGCATGCATTCTTGAGGACATTCTCCTACTAAATACAATGCTGTTATCACAGATAAAATTAGTAGTAATTCTATCATGTGTATGTCCAGTAATAGTTTTTTTTTTTTTTAAGATTTATTTATTTATTTGAAAGGCGGAAATAGAGAAGGAGTGAAAGGGGGAGAAAGAGAGCTTCCATCCACTGGTTCATTCCCCAAATGGTTGCAGTGGCCGGAAACAGGAGCCAGGAGCTTCTTCTGGGTCTCCCATGTGGCTGCAGGGGCCCAAGTACCTTGGCCATCTTGTATTGCTTTCCCAGGCACATTATCAGGGCGCTGGATCGGAAGTGGAGCAGCTAGGACCGGAACTGGTGCTCATATGGGATGCCAGCGCTAAAAGCGGAATCTTAACCTTGTACGCCACAGCACCGGCCCCTGTAATAGTTTTGTTTTTAAAGTGAGCACATGGAGTGATTAGGATAGGAGATCATGAGTAGGAGAAGATGACAACAGTAGAATGAAAAGGTGGTTATTTATTGGCATTAAAACTGTTAACAGGAAAGTAGATGAAAAGTGGAGGCCTGGAATAGGGCCATAATAGCAGTGAAGTTTAGATGACGAGGTGGAATAGGACTGATGTTTACCCATCTGGAGAAAGGACTTTATTTTATCGTTGGTGTGAGAATGCAGTAGCTCAAAATGATTCCAAAGTTTCAAACTCTAGTGGCTGGATTTTAAAGACTAAGCCATGCAGTAACATGGAAGTTCAAAGAGAGAAGCAGTTTCAAAAACCAGAATGTGCTTTTCCCACTTGTTTTTAAGGACGCAAGTATGAGGTATATGTAGGTCATTCATCCATAGATGACCAGAATGCATCCAGAGGCTAAGGGAGGCGTTTAGAGGTGTCACGGCTAAAGACTTAGAAGTTAGTCTGCACATGGATGATGTGGAAATCATTAGAGGATGAGAGTGTTCATGCAGAGTACAGAGATAGGAGAGTGAGTGATGAGGGTGGAACTGTTAAAAATCAGCGTTTAAATGGGGTGGGAGGAGAGAGCCAGTGAACAAATTTTAAACTGAGATGTGGATTACTGGTGACACTGTCTGTGGAAATCTGAAGGACCAAAGGAGTTCTCAGCAGATAGATTTGTTGAAGTCTCAAGTTGAAGACTGCGAAGAAACTTTATTGGCAGTTGAGTTAATCTGGGTGTTGGAGACAGAGAGGTGACTTTGTCTAGAGCTCCCTTTTGTCAACGATTTGTCATGTGCTTGATTATTGAAATAAATGAAATTATTGAAGGAATGTTTGGGTCTTAGCAGGGTTTTGAAAATGTTCTTGGTGGATTAAAGACTACTTTCCAGTACTGTAGTCAACTTCAATTATGCTAGATTTGAATTAGACCAGCAATAGAGTAAACATGTACAGTAGATAGGTCCTAATTGAATAGTGTTAATATTGTTACATAATACTCAACCAAGTTTTCAACTTATTCTTCCTACAGTGAGACAGATTCAGATAGTTCAAGCTCTTCCTCTTCATCATCGTCATCTTCCTCCTCCTCATCATCTCGTGTGTCATTTCCTCCAGTGCTGTCAGATGGAGAAGATGATTTACAAGTTGAGAAGGAAAGTAAGAATTTTCCTCTTAAAACAAAAGATGAGTTACTTCTTAATGTAAGTACTTGGATCTGTTAAGTTTAATTTGCATGTTTTACACCACTGTGGTTCTGATATCGATCTTACTTGGCCTCAGCCTAAGTAAACCTCAGAGGGAGATTCTCCAAAAAATAGATATTTATTTGGGAATCCAGTAGTGTTGCAATGGGAATATACATGCTCAAGTAAACTACAAGTGTATTCAAAGATGTACTGGGAGGGGGTGGGGCTTCTAAAGGGCCAATGAGGAAAATTACATGAGATACTTGACTAAAATCACCCTTGGGCACAAGAATTAGCAACAGCGGTGGTGCCAGTCTGAAGCTGAACAGACAGTTGCTGGGCAGATGTCTTTGCGGAAGTGTTTTTTGGCTAAAGCTAGGAGCTGGGAACTAAGTCCAGGTCTCCCTGTGGGAACCTGACCCTGAGGCAGCGCTGCCGCTTCCCAGGTCTGCATTCCCAGCAAGCTGGAAGCCAGCGCTGCAGCCAGGAGTCAAAGCAGACACTTCAGTGTGGGAGTGGACGTTTTGTTGGTTTCTTAAGTGCTAGGCTTAATGCCCACCCTGTTTCTCTTTTTCTCTCCTTAAAATAAATTTCCTGCTTCATTTATGCTTTATGCATTGAAAACTTCGATTTGTATGCTGAGATTCATTTTTTTCATGCTCCATCTGTGTTGATAACTCTTAATAACCTTTCACAAAGGCTGCCACCTCATGTAGCAATTTTTTGAAAGTTTTGGGAGACTTGTTTGGTCTCTTGTCTATATCTAGACCACCTTTCTGTGTAAGTCCTCCCTTACATATATAAAAATAAATAAAAGGTTGTAGTATTTTTGTAAATGTATATCATTGTATTATTTATTTTACTAGATCTGGAATGCTTACCTTGGGAATACCTTGAAATGTAATGCAAACATTTTATAGTTTGTTTGCTCTGATAATTATGCCTATATTATCATCAGAAAAATCAGAAAGGGTCTGTGGCCACATGGAAGCCAGGGATCATGTTTTTTGAGAACTGAGCTTATTTCTGGTCTTTGTAGTCCTTATAAAGCATTACAGATACTGAGTTAATTCAGTTGTAAGTAATATATGATTATAGAGTGAGAGCATTCTTTTGATAAATTGTAACACAGTTGTCATTTGCTAGGTGCTGTAAAAAAGATCAATCCAGTTTCTTCTCATAATGTGTAGTGGAGGGAGACTGACATTTAATAAAGCAGAGATAGACATATTTAATTGTTAAAAGTGCTATTGGATTGTGTAAGTGTATGTTTGACTTGTATCAGAAAATTCCATTTTCACTAGTGAAGTATTTTTCTAACTTTTAAAACTGAACAGTGAGCCGGCGCCGCGGCTCACTAGGCTAATCCTCCATCTTGCGGCGCTGGCACACCGGGTTCTAGTCCCGGTCGTGGCGCCGGATTCTGTCCTGGTTGCCCTTCTTCCAGGCCAGCTCTCTGCTGTGGCCAGGGAGTGCAGTGGAGGATGGCCCAAGTGCTTGGGCCCTGCACCCCATGGGAGACCAGGAGAAGCACCTGGCTCCTGCCATCGGATCAGCGCGGTGCGCTGGCCGCAGCGGCCATTGGAGGGTGAACCAACGGCAAAGGAAGACCTTTCTCTCTGTCTCTCTCTCTCACTGTCCACTCTGCCTGTCAAAAAAAAAAAAAAAAACCCAAAACTGAACAGTGGACTGATGTGTTCTTTTTTATGACAGATCAAAGGGATCATTTGAAAGGATAGAAGAGACAATTGCAGTCTTTATTTTTTTAATTTTAGGTTCTTGATTAACTTCACTTTATAGTTTCGTGATTAGAAAGGAGATTTATTAGAAGTACCTGGTCATTTAGAACATTCTGCTGGTAGAGTTAGGTAGCACAATGATGTATCCTTTGGTTTGCCCTAAATCTCTGACTTAGGGCTCTTAAAGAATCTGTTAGGATTTCTTGAAGATTTCAACTGTGAAGTTCAAGGGAAGAGAATGGCTTGGTTCTGAATACCAGTTTATGGCTGTAAGTTCTCAGTATCCTTAGGACTCTGTTGCCTGTTAGGGCTGGGAGTTTCGCTTCAGATACTTTGAATGAAACTCATGGGGAGAACTTCTGCTGACTTATCTGAGGCTTGGTAAATAGCCTGGTACAAATCACTGAGGCCTGTGGAATGGGTCTTCAGATTGCTTGGGCATGAATCCATAGTTGTTCCTGATTGTGGGCAAGTGTGTAGGAGAGAATGTGAGAGTGTCTACGGAAAAGGAAGTGCTTAGCAGAGCACAGAGCAGTTGACAGAAAGGGAGTGTGAATGTGTGTGCCTGTTGAGGAGGGTTGGTGTTGCGTGTGTGCCGTCATCCCCATGTAAACCACTAGAAACTACAGTGGCTATTAAGGCAGATCTTGCTGCTGCTTTTATATGTCTCTTGGACGTTCTTAGAGTTCTCTCAATGCCGTTTTATTCTTTCTTTATGGGCTGGTTTCCTCTATTTACCTTTTTAATGTTTTAGTGTACGTGGATGTAGATGGATTTTTGTATCCTGGGCTCTGTCTCTGACATCTTTTACTTTCAGCTTCCCCATGCACTGGCCAGTGTTAGATTTCTTTATTCGCATTTGGGACTTAGGGTAGTTTTGTCTGTTTTGTAGGAAAATGACAATCCTTTCTTCCTAGGAGGTGGCTCCTCATTTGCTGCAGCTGGCTCTGATTGCCGTGGTACTGTTTGCTCGGGACTTCTGATACATCACCTGCACTTTTTGGCAGCAAAGCGTTGTTTGTCTTAGGTGGTGTGTAGCTGCTAGCTCTCTGTGGTCTATTAATTTAATTACCCAATGAAATTTTAAAGAAAGTTACTGTAGTAGTCTATATAACTTTGCTAAAAAGCATACATAAATTCAAATATGCCAAGCAGCTAATGTCAGTTTTAGAGTTTGTGCTAGCCCTTCAGGGATTTCGAGAACATAGCCATGCCTGACAGAGTCCAGGTTCATGTCCTCCCTTCTGAAGTGTTTTCGTCCTCTACGTAGTTTCCTGCTGCAGTTCAGGCATGCTGAGCTTAAGTTTTACCTCTGATTATTGTACTTCTCAAGCAAGAATGTTGTCTCTGGGCTTGTCTCTAAATCTTTGCCATTATTGCAAAATTATTTTTCAGTGGTATAATTACGGTCTGTGCAGAACTTTGGTTGTAGATATATGGTAACTACAGTAAAGTAACTTTGACATTGTTATTTTTAAAATTAAATCTTAGCTGCAGTTCTTTTGGAATTGGGTTAAAGACAAATCTTCTCATCTGAAGATTTAATTATAATTCAGTTTACAACAAGAAGTTGAAGTGGTTAGAGAAGAGAAATACAAGAGGGATTATTGAGCCTTAGAGGCAATGGAGAATCTTTAGCTAGCTGTCTTCATAATATGATTATGCCATTTAGTTGAGCCAGGTAGACTTCTTTTAAACATAACCCTCCATTAATGCCAAGAAAGTTTATGTATAACCTGCATGGTAACTATTAAGGCAGCATACATCTTTTTTTTTCTTTTTAAAGATTTATTTTATTTATTTTAAAGAGTTAAAGAGAGAGGTAGAGACAGAGGTCTTCATCTGCTTGTTCACTCCACCTGAAGCCAGGAGTTTCTTCGGGGTCTCCCACGTGGGTACAGGGGCCCAAACACATGGCTGTCTTCTGCTTTCCCAGGCTATAGCAGAGAGCTGGATCCCAGCGCTGCAGGCTGGGGCTTTAACCTTCTACACCACAGTGCTGGCCCCAGCAGCATGCATTTTAACAGCTTTGGAACTATATTAACCTACATAGGATTATTCAGTGGTTCAATGAATTGGAAAATTAAGTTTTCTTTGAAAAATGTTCTCAGCATTTTTTTTCTGCAAGCTCTTCATTGAAATACATTAAATGTAATTAAAAATTAAGAAGCATAAAAATATTTGACATTGTGATATTTCAGAATCTTAATTAGAATTGAGCTTTATAAATGAATGCCTATTGTATTGTCTTCTGTGTGCTTATAGCAGGGGTGGGGAACATGGCCTGTTGGATATATAAGTCATGTGAAGGCATTTGTTCTAGCCCTACCAAGGCAATTACAAGTGGGTCTTGAAATTCAGTCAACTGAGGCCAGTGCTGTGGTGTAGCTGGTAAAGTTACCACCTGCAGTGCCGGCATCTCATGGGCATTGGTTCAAGTCCTGGTTGCTCCACTTCTGATCCAGCTCTCTTCCATGGCTTGGGAAAGCAATAAGATGTCCCGAGTCCTTGGGCCCTTGCACCCACGTGGGAGAACTGGAAGAAACTGCAGGCTCCTGGCTTTGGAACAGCCTAGGCCATTTGGGGAGTGAACCAGCTGGTGGAAGATCAATCTCTCTCTCTCTCTTTAACTCTGCCTTTCAGATAATTTTTTTTAAAGAAATTCAGTCAGTTTTTACCAGGCTTATTTTTAAATTTATAATTTTGTATGGTCTACAGATGCTATTAAATATCCAAGTGGCCCTTAGCAGAAAAAGGTACCCCATCTTGGCTTATAGGGATGAAAAATAGGTAATACTTCAATAGGGATAATAATGTGTTTGTGCAAATGATGTAGAATCACCAAAAGTTCTTGGAAGCAATTCTTGGAAAATTGAACCTTTATAATTTGAAGACTGCCTGTGATATAAGAAGTCCAGTGTGTAGCTAGGTTGAGTGTACTGTATTTGCTTCTGATTTTTGGCAGTGTAGACACATACTGTAACATGACCAATGGAAATATCTGGGTCATCTCAAAATGGTTAGAAACTGCAGAATAGTATTTCATATCCATTTGATATCCCATCAGCTATATAATTGTATTACACTTAGATCTTCACTACTAATTACTAATTGAACATTTTGTTTTCAAGGTCTTAGCTTGGTTTATAAGTTTTGTCCTAAATGCAGGCCTTTTTCAACTCAAGTGTTTTGTGACTCCATGTATATTTGGAATTTTTGCTTTCTATCCTAGAATATCGATTGCACACTTTTCAAACCAGCAAAGGCTGGTTACTT